GAGACTCCAACTCAAAAAAAAAAAAAAAAGGCTAGAATGGATCATCTTTTCAAAAATTATTATTATTATTATTTTTCTGAGGAGGAGTCTTACTCTGCTGCCCAGGCTGCAGTACAGTGGCATGTTCACGGCCACCTCAGCCTGAACCTGCTGTGCTCATGCAATCCTTCCACCTCAACCTTCCCGGTAACTGGAACTTTAGGTATGCCCCACCATGCCCAGCTAATTTTTTGATTTATTGTAGAGATGAGGTCTTGCCAAGTTGCCCAGGCTGATTTTAAACCCTGGACTCAGACAATCCTCTTGCCTCAGCCTCCCAAAGTGCTGGCATTACAGGCGTGAACCACATATGCCTGACTTTGGATCAACTTTTAAATCATGACGATGATTGTTAACATTTATAATGTTCGTGTAATCAAATAATTCTAAGATTGTTTTCATTATGTTCTTTTTGTTAAGAACACATTCTTGCTTCCTGTTCGGTCTAGATGCCTCAGTCTAGATTTCCTAGATCTAAAATTCTTCAATGAAGTTGCACACTGGTTAAATTATTTACAAATAGTATGTTTTTGAGCTTTTCCTTGTTGGGAGGAGAGCAGGGTCATAGCTTTCATAACATAGTCAGACTTGTTTATTTAACTGTAAAGGTTAAAGGTTACTACTCAAATTTGTCAGATCCTTTGAGAGTATTATAGAGTTTGTATTATGTTCTCACCACGTTTGTTATTGTGTCTTTTAGATGTTTAATACTGATTGCATGGGTTCACAGTTCTCTGTTAGCTTCTGGACAGCTCATTTGTCTTAACTCATAGCTTATTTCTGCTAGGCATATACTGTGTGTGACTGTGCTGCTGTGGATGTTCTGCCACCCAGCTCTCCTTGGACCGCTTTTCCAAATTCTGTATTTTTATTTTAGAGCCCAAGTAATGGCTTACTTTTACCTGGATTTTTCTCATCAGTAATGATTTTCCTCATTATGATGGATATTTTTTTACAACACAGATCTTTGGTCTTTATTTTAACAACAGGTAGTATTTTGTGTTATAAAACATTTCTTCTCTGTCAGGTATAAAACCTGACTAACTTAATTATTGAAACTGGTTTTCTGTGAGGTGTCTAGAATCAATACAGTATATAATTTTTCTTCTTGATGAACTTTTTTATCTTCTCAATTTTTTTAATTGGTTAATTTTTTTATAACTGTTAATTATGAATATTCTCAAACATAGAGAAAAATTGTTAGACTAGTACAGTGAATACCATTGTACCTTTTGCCTAGGTTTATTAATTAGTATTTTACTGTATTTACTTTATCTGTGATATGTGTATTTTTTTCTGAATCATTTGAAAATATATTTCATATATTAAGAACTTGATCTCCTAATATTTTAGCATGCATCTACTAAAAGGCATTATCTTTTATAACTATGATACCATTGCAACACCTAAGAAAATCAACAATAATTTTATAATATCTAATGTCTTCCTCCTTCAGTTTTAATATATTTCAGAATATGAATATATAGTTTGAATATATTTCAGAATATGAAGCCTGGTGTCTGTTTTTATATATTACACAACTCCCAGTATGGTGTTGGATTCACTTAAACATTTAAAAATGTTTGATTCAATGGAGTATTTTTGTATAATACCGTCTAAGATATATGCGAGAAACAATCTAAAACATCATTGCATAGTTCAGTGTTTTCAGATGAAAAAAATTAGATGAAGAACTGTTCTGTGCAGAGCTGTGACTAGAAAACTAGGTCTTATGTCTGAGTTTAGTGTTCTTTTACCATTATCAAAATTATCATTCATAGCTTGTGCCTTGTTAAGGGATGTGTTAAGTCTTAGGGCCCATGAACTCACCACCTGTTTTACACAGCGGAAGTATATTCTGGGCATTTTTATTAATTGGTGTGTGTGTGTGTGTGTGCGTGTATTGCTTTCTCAAAATTACATTTAGTAAGATTTGATTTCCTGATTCTAGGTTGCTGCCTTCAAGGTTATATTTTATAAATTGGAAGTCCTTACTGAATTTTATTTGTAATTTTGGTAAACTAACAATTAGTCCTTATCAGTAATTATTTTCTGCATATATGTACATGTGTATTTTATAGTTACTATATTACCTTGGTAATTAAAATTAAATCTGTATCTTTTCCGGTTGCCATTTGTATTGATACTAACCCAGTTTTAATTAAAATAGGCTTTTAAGCATATATAAGTTAAAAAAATTAACATTTTTTTTCTAATTTTAATATATTTTCACTCTTTAGAATTCCAGCTTACATGCATAAAATGTTCATGCTTACTTATGAAGGATTTGCTAAATGAACTGGTAGAATGACTTTAAAGAAGGTTGTTTACTTAAGAAATTTACAATGTGAGACATTTAAAACAATTTAGCAAGTGTGTACAAATATGACTATGATTGACTTTTTCAGTAACTTATTTAGTATGTCTTCAGTTAATATTATTTAATACTAATTTGTTTATCACATTTTATGTATTTTTATATTCAAGAAGTTCTATTTAATAAACATATTCACCTTCCTAGCAAAGAAAAGCAAAAAGTCATGTCTTGATTTAAGAATTTTGCATAATAAAAATTTTAAAAAATACTTAAGTGTAAAATGATAGTCATAGTCTCTGAAAAAATAAGATTTTTTCTCACTGTTTTATTTTCTTTCTTACCACAGTAAATCAAGAGGAGTTCATTGCTATTATGACTGGTGACATTTAAAGAATTACAAGGATAAACACGAAGAACATGGCAGTTACCATCTTATATTCTATTTTTGTGCCTGAGCCATGTAAAAAAAGAAACCAACCCAGTTCTTTTTTCCAAAAGGACCAAAAATAAGCATCTTATGTATTTGTATTTTACTACTGATAAGTTTCTTTGTAAGAACCATGTTGTTAGTACCCAAATAGTTTAGCTTTGTATTTATAATACAGCTTTTATATAAAGTTTTTAAAAATCAAAATCATGTGATATGTGTTCTTTGAAGGTTTTTTATTTAATGTTGTTAGTCACTTTTATTTTGGTGCACATATTTTTCAGACTTTCATTAATAAAGTGTTTATTTTATTAGTATTTTAAAGTTTGGAAAAATATATTTTATTTTTATTTCTAAAATTGGATAACCCCAAGAGTATATTTCATAAATCTTTTCTCTTTACACTTTTACTAGTTCTTGAAAGAAAAACTGAAATACAAATAGCAATAGAGTAGCACATTTTTCCACTACTATTTGACATTTTATGTTTTAGTACAAGTACTCAATATAGGCCTGATTCCTTTCTTAAGAGTCATGCCTTTCAGTTTGGAGAGAATAGGTATTGTGCAAACAGACTCATTTGTCCTTGTTAATTATGTTCTTTAACTCTTTTGGTATGTTAATGTAAGTATGATAGTTAAATCTGAATATTTCCTTCTTAAATAATTTGAATCATCTAACTTCTTGACTAAGTGAAAGCTTTAAATTTCAGAATTTTGATTTGTTAAGATAGTTATCGCTCAAACACTACAGTGATGAAAATAGAAAACTAAGCCACAGAAGGAAGTTAAGACTATGTTTTACCTGTATAAAGGATTCACCAGGAAACAGTAGACACAGACTTTCCAAGTATTGGTGAGTCTTCTGCCTTGTAGAGTTTATGTTGGGGAAAGCAAGTGGTTATGGAGATGGGCCGCAGAAAATTGATACTGGTTTCTGGTGTTATGGGATCTCCCAGGAAGAAAGTGAGTTGTCTAGTTCAGTAATCTTTGTTTAGACTTCTTGTTTTAAAAGTATGGTATAATTTGAGTCACTTTAAATGTTGTGAACCTTTTAGAGTATTAAGAGTTATCCACTAGAAATTTAACAAAAAAATCAGGGAGTAATATAATAGTGGTGACATATCAAACAGTTATCTAGAAAGCAAGTTAATTGTTCACCTAAAGTAACAATTTTGAATATGAAATCAATGATCACAGTAATAGCAAAATATTCAGGACAACAAATAGACTTTGAAATTAAAAAAATTTTATTACCCTCACTGATTTGTCTTTTTCTCATGAAATATACTAATTTCCAGGAAAGTACAGAAAAAAACATTTAAAAATCTAGGTTTACTAATGTTTTGCCACTTTATTGGAACAATAACCCAAGTTACATTTGCTGCTTACAAAGATGCCATCTTTGTTCTTTTTCTTTCTTTCTTTTTTTTTTTTTTTGAGTTGGAGTCTCACTCTATCGCCTAGGCTGGAGTGCAATGGCAGGCACATTCAAGGCCACCCCAGCGTCAACCTGCTGGGTGCCAGCAATCCGCCTCAGCCTTCCAAGTAGCCAGAACTACAGTCGTGTGCTGCCACGCCCGACTAATTTTTATTTATTTATTGTAGAGATGGAGTGTCACCAAGTTGCCCAGGCTGGTCTCGAACCCGCGGGCTCCCAAAGTGCTGGTGTTACAGGCTGAACCACCGAGCCCAGCCTCATCTTTGTTCTTAATATATTTTCTTCTTGGGATGCTAGTACTTGTGTTTCTTTTCTTACTGTGGGTTAGGGAGGAGTGCTCACCTCAGCTCTTCATGTCTGTGGAAGCTTTGTCTTAAAGTAAGATATGAATTATTACTTTTTGTTTTAAGTTTATTTTTTTATTTTTTAAATTTTAGATTCAGGGGATACACATGCATATTCATTACATGAACACACTGTGTAGTGGTGGGGATTGGGTTTCAGGTGGCCCATTCCCCAGATAGCATTGTACCCCGTAGGTAGTTTCTGAATCCTAAACCTCCCCCATCCCCACTTATCAGGTTTCCCAGTGTCTATTATTTCCATCCTTGTGACTGTTTGGCTCCTACATATGAGTGAGAACATGTGTTAGGTTTTCTGTTTCAGTTCACTTAGGATGATGATCTCCAGTTCCATCCATGTTGCTACAGGGGACACGATTTCATTCTTTTTTATGACTGTGCTCATGCTGATTTTATTCTTTTTGTTTGCATTGCCACAACCTTATCTGAGGTCTCATCATTTTTTTTCTCTCATTAAAAAAAAATATTAAAGATGTGGGGTACAGTTCAGGGAGGATATGAGTTATCAAGTTTATTCCAGTATTAATAATCAGTAACTATGGAGCTGAAAGGTCAAAAAAATTGTCTAGTAGACATGGCAATATGAGGAGTGAATTTTCTGTAAAAAGAGGGAGGTGGATATTAGTTATATTTATCATTATCATATTAATCATTCAGTGGCATTTCGTGATGTGAGAAATGTGTTCACTGCTAAACTTGCTTAGTGCACTTGCTACCCTGGGGTCCTGGTGAGTTTTGGTAGCTAGAGATCAATCAATGAAGATCTCTGTTTTCAGCCTTTGTTATAAGCCAATACAGTGTTTTCTAAAGAAGCAGCTCTTAGAGTCTGGTAGTTGGGATGGGGGAGGAACTAGAAAACACATTTGTAAGCACTTAATGTGTGGTGGTGTAAAAGAGCAGGAAAATACAAAGTTGTTCACATAGGTCTTCAGAACATTGTAAATAATTTTTTAAAAACCAAAGTTTTTCCTCCTCTTGCATAGTCACTCAATACTACACTTCTGACAGCAGATTTTCCAGCATACACCAATTGGGTGTTCAATTCAATTCTGACACTATCTCCAAGTAGATAGTGTCAGATCCCGCAATGTCCCACAAAGCTGCCCTCCACTTCAGATGCCATTTGCAAGTCCCAGGTTGTGACCACCCACTATAAATTGGGAATTCCAGCCGGCTCGGTGGCTCAGCCCGTAATCCCGCGCCTTTGGGAGGCTGAGGTGAGTGGATTGCCTGAGCCCGCGGGTTCGAGACCCACCTGGGAAGCGAGACCTCATCTCTACAATAAATCAAAAAATCAGCCGGGCGTGGTAGCCTGCGCTTGTAATTCCGGCTACTCGGAAGGCTGAGGCGGAAGGATCGCTGGAGCCCAGCAGGTCGAGGCTGCGGTGGCCGGGAGCGGCCACTGCACTCCAGTCTGGGCGACAGAGTGAGACTCCAACTCAAAACAAACAAACAGACAAACAAAACAAACAAACAAATAAAACAAACAAACAAAAAAATTGGGAATTCCCACTGCCCCCTTGTCAGGTTCTGTAATTTGCTAGGTTGTTTCACAGGACTCAGGGAAACAATTTCACAGTTTGTTATAAAGGGTATTACAAAGGATACAGAAGAACAGCCAGATGACATGCATAGGACAAGGTGCAGGGAAAGGGAGTGGAGCTGCCTGGTCCTTTTTGGAGGAACCGCGAGGCTCTCCAATTCCAATCCTTTCGGGTTTTTATGGAGGCCTCATTATGTAGGCATGATTGATTACATCACTGATGACCAACCCAATCTTCACTGTCACTCCTGTGGGTGGCGGGAGTGGTTGGTTCCCCTGGCAACCGGCAACCCTCCCCCCACCATCCAGGACCCTTCCTCCCCCCACCATTCCTCTTATCAACACACACAAAGACATCACGTAGAGACACGAGGACTTAGGAGCTGTGAGCCCAGAACTGATGGCAGAGACCAAATAGGTATTTATGCTATCACAGTATGATAGGTAGGTACTGGGCTTGGCTCGTTTGGTCCTTTATGGCAGGAAGTTTATATAGCACTTCTGATGGAAGACTTTCAAATTTATTTGATGTGCCAGTGGTAATGGTCTTGCAGCAGTAAACACCGTGGAAAGTAGACCGAGGCTCTGGCCGAGGCTCCACAGTCGTCTGGTGCTGGTCTCTGGAAGTAGATTCGGGGATTTTTTTTTTTTTTTTTTTTTT